GAAAGAGATGAACTTCACAGAAAAACAGACATTCAAATGGAAAGAATACGAATGCTATCAAAGGCATCAGATCCGAATGTCACACAGATTAGTTCCGATTCCCTTCAGAACATTCCCAATTTCAAACACAGTGACAATCTATGCACAGAAATATTTACCCTGTAAAAGAGTTAACAATGCCAAGTACCTATTCATCAGCAATGTACGATGCTATATTAAGACGCATGACCCATTTAACAACAACTTTGATAAATACTTAATTGTTGTATTGGTGGCATGAAACAAAGCCAAGCATCAACCACTTCTTGACTCAAAAACTCTCACAGAACTGCAAAGAGGGTCGCTGGCGTGACTGCGCTGTCAGAGCTGATATCATCGATTGGTTCTCCATGTATGTTGCCAGTGCCCCATATTGATATGGGAACCAAAGTCCAAAAGCCAACAGGAACCTTCCCTTCTCCCTACAAATCCCCTAGTTTTGTGCCCGTCACGATAAAGTATTTTGTGCTCGTGTAAACTGAGATGTATTTGTCAAATAACACAGAGGAACAATCTCAAAAATGATTGTGGTGAGGAGTTGGACGTTTGTGCTCTAAAATCTACATCTAAAAAAACATTAGCTCCATTTTAATGGCAACATCCATTTGAAGGGACGATCATCACATTTATGGGCCTGTACGATTCACACTGATGAAACAGCACGCTCTAGTCTCCACCTTGGGATGTTATGATGAACGATGAGAAAATATCCACGTTGCAGGCTATTGGTCCTCATGAAGAATTGGTCTACTTTGAGTCAAGACTGTTAAAACCATTTCAGACGCACCCCAATGGACCTCTTTTGCCGCAACAGCCGTGCGTCTTGTAGATTTCAGGCTGAGTGCTTTCAATTACTCCAATGCTGTTGAATAAAACCTCTCATTATCTTTTACCAATTACATCAATCGTGTTCAACAAGGGAAATTAGAGAAAGCTGGAGAATAAAGCCATTTGGTGTCACTACAGCAGCCATGAGGCATCTGCTGCTAAGGGGAATGTAACGGGACAGTGAAATAAATTCACATTAAGAAAGGAATTGGAACACAAGCACGAGACGCGCCCTGGGAAAAGGACGTTCCCCTAAAGCCTGTGTTCCAACTCCATGTGCCCCGAAGCTGCTGCGGAGTCTGTAAGTGCTCTTGAATATAGAGTCATCGATCCTCGTTGGCCTCAATGGAGCTCACTTCAGCCCAAACCACCTGGGTAACTATTCTCCACCTTTACATGATACACAACTCAAGTGTAAGTCTCAGGAGACGAGGTCAGATCCATTCTTGCACTTATTTTCCTAGCAACAAAGCAGGCTAGGCCATTGGTCAGAACATTGGGTATGTGTTACATGGCTATTTGTCTTGAAATAAATTGAATTTCGCTTGGTAATTCAAGTAAGATACTCTGTGCCATAAGACTTTTAAGGGTAAGGGGAGGGAAGGATTGTGCATGATTTAAAAAAAAATATATTTCCAGTCATAGTGCTTTGAGTTTATGTAAATGATCATGACCAAAGTGATGAAACATCTGTGTGCATTATTTAATGTGACTAGTTATGCATCTAATTAAGTCTCTTTCTGTCTTGAACTTATTGCTTGTTATATTTGAAGTGTAAATATTTTAGTTTTGACTACATTCATTAATACTAATTAAAGACTGACAAACATTTCTCTGTAAACAGCATAACACTAGCTCACATCTTCATCACGTATAAATTAAAGTGATCACAAAAACACATATGACACTAAAGTCAAAGTATTCAAGCTTGAAAGTAAAAATGTTTTCAGATTCAACCGTCATTCTTTGAGATTCTGTAAAAATAAGCTCAACCTTCCTCCCTTAATGTGTGCTGCTTCTAAAAAGTGATAGATTCCATATGTAACTGAATGAGTGTGTGTGCGTGTGTGTTTTTAGCCTTGTAGGGATTGGCAGTGGTGATCTGTTGTTCCCTGCTGTTGGCTTCATGACATCTATTCAGTGATCTCCAGAATAAGATCGTCTCCTTCCAGAGTGCTGTCGGCGGTCACGTAGATCTTGGCCACGGTGCCGGAGAGCGGCGAGTTCACCACCATTTCCATCTTCATGGCACTGAGGACGCAGAGCGGTTGTCCTTTCTCCACCTGCTGGCCCTGCTTCACTTTCACCTCCACCACCTTACCAGGCATGGGAGCCCCAATCTGTCCACGAACGTCCTTCAGGGCTTTAGGGTGGAAATG